CCCCCCCCCCCCCCCCCCCCCATTATGAATAAAAAGTGGAAAACACAAAAGTTATTGTAATCCTCACTGGCACTAGAACCAGTCAGTGGACAGACTGTAAATGGTGAGAACTTCCCTTGATGAATTTTTAAAACAGCTCAGTGTTCCAGAATAAGTTTTCTTAAATAATAGCCATCTCATTTAAGCTTTCTGTTTTGTGTGAGGAATCCAAACAATGAATTCAAATTGTGCTTAGAAGGCAAAGTGGCTGTCCTTATGATTTCCTTGTAGAAACAAGTGCTTCTCCGATTTACAGGACCACAGCAGATACCTACCAAGGTCCCTGTCCTCAGCTGTATGTGATGATACAGCATAATATTGTAATGGTGATCAACAAGCTAGACAGATAAGTCCAGTACATTAGTGATTTTAGACAGGGTCTTTGAAACCTTTAGAAGAATGTGTGGGAATAGAATGGCTATGAAAATAATGGATTATTCATTACAACTGAATTTTGATATTAGCTCCAAAAGATGAATTTATAGCAGTGACTGGAAGAATTTACAAAAGCCTGAAATTCATTCCATTTAAACCACCGTGTTCCCTGGAAGATGGGAATGGGAAGGGTTGAGAGGGCAGAAAGAGCTGACGTTACCCCCTTGGAACCAAACTCTCTCTCCCTTCCTGCACCCAATGTTTACCATCAGGATAAAACATTAAAGTACTTCAAGAAACAGCCGGCCCAAGTATTGTATTGTAAAGAGTAGAACAGTTCACTGGCTCTCCTCTTAGGGAAGATCTAGCGCAAGAGAGCTCTCCCTTCTATTTTAGAGAAAGACGTCCATGGATTTAGCAAGGATCATGCTTGTGTAGTATTTCTCGATTTGCAGTAGGCTCAATGATCTTCTTAGCACACATTTTAGCACCAAATATCATTAAAGTCTGTGCTTGGTTCACAAGCAATGAAGTGCCCAGCAAGCCAAGAGCTCTGACACTTTGCATCTGGCAAGGTTTAACTAGATTGTAGCATGTATACATTTGAGAGGAAACAGTCGGCACAGTAGACATGGGACAATAGATCCTTAAGTGAGAGCCTTTAATGGATGTAGGTTTGTTTTCCAGAAATTGGATTTATATAGGAAGCATCGACTAGACCAGAAGCCATGAAGGTTACACTGCACCACAGAACAGCTGTAGCAGGATATTTAATGGATGCAGCCTCATCTCACCTTACCATAAGTCATTAGATGCCCTGTCCACTTGTTAAAAGTAAACAGATACAACCAGCTGTGAGACTAGAAAGGATCGCTAGAAGGAGTTGGAATAACTGGAGTGCTGTAGCTTCACTTAAGGCAACCCCCTCAACTAAGGTTAAGAGCTCATGAGCAAGCTTCATCCAATCTGCCAACAAGAGACAGGGACCAATAAGAGTTGATGCATGTGACACTGGCATTTCTGGAAAGGGTATCTCGTGCATTTGCCTTGCGATTCATTGGAATCGCAAGTAATTGTTGCAATTGCTATCAAATGTTTTTCACTGGCAACATTCAGTACACTGAAAGCAGAAGAGTATGATAGTTTAAAAAAATGCAGTAAATATTCATTAGCATTTAATGAAAAAGCAGCAGCAGAGAAGATTCACAAGGGTCAAGTCATATTCAGAGAGCATAATAGTGCCATTTTATAGAGGCAAAAGTCAGACATGTAGTTCATTTAAGAGGAGAAACATTTTTGTCATCATGAGAAGAAAGAAGAACAGACGTTGCTATGTAGACATTGCTTGGCTTAGTTTATATTTGATTTTTATGAAAAAATCACCACCTCGAGTCACATATTTTTTCCTCATATTTAAGTGGGTTTTAGTTTTTTTTTTTTTAAAAGATTAACCTGTTCAAGTATACACCCTAAAATTAGTTTCTTGACCCACGTTCATCTGCTCTTAAGACTAAATATCTCACAATAGTTGGAAAAGTGGAATGTACGCTGGTGGAGGACTCTAGAGACATGAGCTTTTCTACCTCAGTTCACATGTTTTAAAAGACAAGCATAAAGAATGCCTAGTTTGCTAAAGATCTTAATATTAACAGACACTGATATTAGTAGCCCTTTTTATCCCCCTTTTAAAAAAATGCTTTCAAAAGAAGTCAGGTGATCAGATTTGTTTTTCTAGAAGTGCGATATACCTTTTAATAGAAAATATAAAACTATTCAATATTTTTAATCAAGGACACAAAAAAGTTTAGACCTATAGGTGGAAGCCAAAGTTACTTGACCCTCAGAAGAGGCTTACAGACTTGCCTACACCTGCACCTCTTAGAAGTTAAAAATAGAAAAATATTGGTAAGTACTAACTCCCTAATTTGGCTGGACCAGTTAGTTCTGAAATGCAATCCAAATTTCATCTCCTAGCATATTTTTTGTCAGTGTTCATGAAAGGAACAGTGACCCGAGAAAAATAAATCGCAACTCTACTGTAGCCCTACTACCAGAACTGTTAAGTAGCAATAGAGCTTGTTCTTGAAACTCATATCAACAGAATATTAAGTTGTTTTAGCTAGAAGCAACAGGATTAATTGGGCTATTTAGCTACCAGAAACCTTGAAGCAGATTTTTTCCTCCTGCCTGTTGTGTTCCTAAAACAGTGTTATGGTACACTTTCATGTGACGACAATGTCAACCCTTATGCTGCTTTGAAAGTAGAGTGGCCAGTTCATAGGATGGCGATTGTATTTGACTTAATGGCTGCATATAAAACTTCCCCTGCAACTCCTTACAGGAACAAAGGAGTAACTGAGTTTACATTTAGCTTACTGTTAAGCTATTAATGCAGTACTTAACTCAATATTTACCTTCTGGTTTCTTTCCTTTTCTCTTCCCTTTATTGGCAATGGCTATTTTCTCTTCTGGTGGCATGTGTGCCAATTTCTGCATGAATACTTTTTCTAATGCTTGGGCCATGAACACAATGTCGTCACCTGGCTGCAAGATATAAATTTGTAGATTGCAGAATATAGGAGACAAGGTAATACTAGACATTCATCTTCTATATGAAGTCATGGGATAGTCTTATTACAGAAGTTGCCACACCAAAAACAAGAAAGGGATTACAAACTTCCCAACTAATTCCAGTGACAGCTATCTTCATGTTGAAAGCTTAAATGTTTTTCCCACTGCACCCTGGAGCACCTTTCTAATTCCCTTCTGTGCTTCTCTAAACATCCCACCCTCACAGTGAGGAAGTGTTGTGATCCACTTCAAAACTGCTCCAAGGATGTAACTGAGACTAGCTGGTAAGTGTCAGAATATGCTGTTTATGCTTGGAGATCTTTACCAAGTGCATCTAATCAGGAAAAAAAAAAAAAAAAAAAAAA